AGGTCATTTAAGCGGCTGCCGGTGGTTTTCCTTTAACCACCAGTGCTTTGAATATCTTTGACCTATCCCCATCTCCTGGGCCCGTCGTCAAAGAAGATGGACGGGAAACACCTTTCAAAACTGCTCTCCCCGGGACTGGGTCTTCACGAGCTAAGGACGCATGTATATGAATCCGACTACCCCGAAATAGGCTCTGTAGGATTTTTTTCCGGACTCCAAGGGCTTTGCTAATTCGTTGTTCAATCCTTCTGGGCTCGTTTGGTGTATTTCTAGGTCCACCTCGTGGCCCACTACGAATCTCCAGACGGACCGTCCCCAAAATCTCCTTTAGAGGAGAGATCACCTCATGGACCTCTAGGAGAGGCTTGAGGCCCAAATCATTCTACAAAATGGGCTCAGAGCAATTCGGTCCCTCAGAAATTTGGCCCATTTCCGTCGGCCCAACAGCTTGTTTCTCCATCTCCTTCGATCCACCAAGATGCAAGCCCATTTCCTTCGGCCCAGTATCAGCCTGAATAGAAACCTTGGGCCTCCTTCGCTCTTCCTCCGCCTTCCTCGGCTCTGATCGACTCGTCCTCCTCTCGGGTTGCCGAAGCTCCACCGCCGGCAAGACAGGCTCCACCGCAGCGGGCTGAATCGGCGGGATCTCTACTTGCTCCCATTTTTGGTGTTGCACAAAGACGTCCCTCGCCACATCCGCCTCTTCTTCCGTCGGAGGGTACCACGATGGTCCTCCCCTATCCTCCGTTGGGACAGGCTTCGCCGGCCCCCCTCGCTTAGTGGGCTCCTCTCTCACCTCCTTACCTTCCCGCCGCCCTTCGAAAGCTTTGCGCACCCACTCCTTGGTGGAGCCGCGTTTAGCCTCTCCTCAATCACCAACCTCGCCCAGCTCCGCCATCAAATTACGCTGGAGTGGCTTCGGGTCTTGAATTGAGACTGAAGCTTTCTCCATAGGCTTGGTCTTTCCCTCAGCTTGAGCACCTTGTAGCTTCGGTGGCTCCGCCTCTTCCCGTTTGCGACGTTTCCGATCCTTCTCCGCCTCCCTCCTCAGATGGTGCTCGGATTGATGGAACGATTTCAAGCCTCTACGGGTGCATCCTCTAGTATCGTGCGTCATTCACAAGCATCTTTTGCAATGATTCTGGAGCTTCATCAAATCAAAGTGGATTTAGAAAGGCTCTCCGGTATCGGATAGAGTGTCCCGATACAACGGGATTGGGTCCTCACATTTCACCATAACCCGAGTCAAAGGAAAAGGCGCAGTCGCCTTCCAACTTAGGAGGTCCCCTAGGTCCTCTCCTATCCTCTTCACTTGGGCATCTTCACACTGATATGGGGGAAGATCCATGATCTTAATCGAGAAAGGAATGGTATCCGAAAAGTATCTTCTCACCGTTGGCTTCCATCTCTCAAGGCCTATCATCCAGCCATCGAAGTGATAAGGTCTATTATCAAGCACCAGTTGGAGAGTAGCTTCTTCTTCTTCGAATCAGAAGTGAAAACTCCCTCTGCCCATCTCAAGACCTTGTGCCTTGCCTTCGCACTTCCACACTGAAGGAAGGAAGGCTAGCATTGCCTTCACGCGCGTCTCCGAGATCTCCGGATATAGTACTCTACCCTCCAATATCCTTTCGAATTTCTTGAGGACTTGTTCCAGGTTGATTGGAGGGAGTTGCAGTGGCTTGGTTCGCTTCGTCTCATGATCAGGTGCTACAAGTTTGCCAAAGAACGACATCTTCTTTGATTGTAGAGTAAAAGTAAGTTCTCTGTTCCAGGAAATTGCTTTAGATGAATACGAGAACTTGGTGTATGTGACAGCTTGATCCAAGCTTGGGTTATATAGCCTCAGCCTCAAACCCTACTCATCATCGGAATCCCCATGTAATCCGATGGAGATCTGCAGAAATCCCTTGATTAAGGGCCCAATTCTTTGGTTTGAAACACATGATTGATTCAAATGAATTGATTGCTTGAGATCCAATTGGTATCTCGCTTGAAAGCAAATCGATCGCCTTTCCTTATTGTCCAGGCACTTCGTATCTGCCATAAATCTCCGATCTGCAGATCCTACAGAATCTCTTTCTCTCCGTTCCTCCGATCCGATCAAATCTCTGCATTTAAACCACACATCACATGGATTTTCATCGAATCGATTATCAGGATGCAGGCTCCTAATGTGTGTGCAGATCGCCGCAGCCTCAGCCCGTCTCCACGACCACCGGAGAGACCACCGCCGTGTCATTGCGCCGCTCAGATCAGAAATATGACCGTTGTCATAATTGCCTCCCCAGAGGTTTAGTCGTGTAATTTACCACAAGTCATGTTATCCAGAATGAACATAACTCCACAATCTTAAATTATGATATGACAAAACATTTATTATAACATGATAAAATACTAATAACATTATTATTTGCCTTATTATTAACTAATTATTAAATACATGAAAACATCACATACATACACCATGATATAGTTTAATTAGTTAATTCTTAAAAATTAAATAGTCCAATCGGATTACCTTTAAACTAAATCTAATTAAAATAAATAGCCAACTTAAAACTAAAACCCTATAAGATTGCTTTTCGTCTCCACTATAGATATTGGAGATATGATAACTTAGTTAATTGATATATCATGGTTTTTATGGTTTTTAATATAGTTTTTATTATTCTATCTAATAGTTTTCATGCGGTTTAATGTCTTAAGTGGTAGTTTTATTGTGTTTGTAATGTTTAGACTCTTTTACATGTCAATTGGGCAAAAATATTAGAGAAGAGATATTGGACAGTTCTGAAGCATCCATATGTCAAGCAATAATTGAATTAAGATATTGATTGATAACTTGGTTTCTTCATATATGTTGTCCTTATTGCTGAAACTTGATTAGCTATTTATTATGATCTTAGGTTGTTTTGTTTAAAAGCCTGAAAGAACCTATTTGAGCAAAACATCCCTAGCCAACAAAAGTTGATGTTAGGGTGTTTTGTGAACATATCAAACTTAATATTTAATGCATGTTTAACCTCTTGAATTCAAACCACAATTTATGAGCTTAAGTTGTTAGACATTGTAATTGATGCTCTGACAATAGATTAGTTTGATTTCGTGATTTGAGTTCTAGAATGATTATTAATGTGTTCCCTAGTGTTTGTGTATTTCTAAATCCCTGAATCTTTTCGAATTCTATGATGCCGAATGC